CCTTTTCAGGACCACTCATGACTTGAGTACAGGATACTCATTTCCGTGCGCTAGTCTTCCGTGTCTCTAAACGCTCGGGTATGTGCATTTCAATTTCCTTTTTGTGCAATGCCGACAGTGTTTCTCTTTCATCACCTACAGGCCTTGAATGCCACCCTTAGGCATTCTCCCATGCATAATATTTACGCTGCGTTTAATGCCAAATTCTTTCACGTGTGCGAATTGCCCGAACAAGACTTGCTGTCGGGTGCAAAGGCCAGCATTGCTTGTTATTTGAACTCGTAAAACCACCGCTGCACTGCCTCGCTTTGAGAGGATTTGAAGCTGTTTCTACGAGAGTCAACAATCGGAGCAGCATTTCCCCGAAACCGGCAGAGGGCAATAAATGTTGTGGACATCCCTCAAAAACAGATAATTACTCCACGGGTTTTTGTTGGTCGAATCTATAATCGTGATATTCGCTGATTGCTAGAAAATGAACCCTGTAATGTCTCGGGAAAGGTTTTTTTCTTCTTTATTTATTTCATTCAACAACACTTTAGAAAACAAGGAACACATGAAGGAATCGTTGGAAGCAACTGCGAACGGAGCACTTGGCACAATGCAAACTAGTTCAAAATGGGAGAATAAATAGAAAGTACTCACAGCTTTTGAACTCCTGCACTTGGAACAAGTCAGCATCGGAGATTGAGACACGGGAGGACGTCGCTTTACACATGTCCGAAAAGCATGTCTGATGTGGCCCTGAAGAGGGCCGTTTTTGTGGCGTTGCCTGCCGCTTCCAAAGAAGCGACATTAAGCGCGTTCACCGCGGATGCGACGAGCCAGCTGGATGTCCTTAGGCATGATGGTTACCCGCTTGGCGTGGATGGCACAGAGGTTGGTGTCTTCGAAGAGACCGACCAAGTAGGCCTCGCTGGCCTCCTGCAGGGCCATTACAGCCGAGCTCTGGAAGCGGAGGTCCGTCTTGAAATCTTGCGCGATCTCCCGCACTAGCCTCTGGAAGGGCAGCTTGCGGATGAGCAGCTCAGTCGACTTCTGGTAACGACGAATCTCACGCAGCGCGACCGTGCCCGGCCTGTAGCGATGCGTCTTCTTGACTCCACCGGTTGCAGGAGCACTCTTCCGGGCGGCCTTCGTAGCCAGCTGCTTGCGCGGTGCTTTTCCTCCCGTGCTCTTGCGGGCGGTCTGCTTCGTACGGGCCATTCCGAAACGTTGGGACAATAAAACGAGAGAGCTAGCAAACAGCAACACACCTCGACTCCTGACGACCAACTGCCTCAGCGCGAGTGGCGAAACTTCCTTCCCGACAAGGCCTCTCGGCCAATCAGAGAGCTTGTTCATTCTGGATGCTGTTTTGGGCAAGTTTCTTGCGAGGGACAGCGCACGTGGCTCGCTAGGACAATATTTCACGATTGAAGTGATCTAAACTTGTGGGGATAATGTGGAACCAACGTTAGAGCACAGAATCGAGCAAAAATTAGACTCCCAACCTTGTTATTTTAGAAACGGCACGGTTATAAACATTCGTTACCTTCTCCAGTGGGCCGCGCTCGCCTCTCGTCCAATCAGCGCGCTTGTTCATTCTTGGATGCTGTTTTGGGCGACTTTCTTGTGAGGGCCTATGCGCTTGGCTCCGTAAAATAATTTTTCTCGATCGAAGTAACTCAGACTTGTGAGGATAATGTGGAACCTATATTAGAGCACAGAATCGAGCAAAAATTAGACTCCAAACTTTGTTATTTTAGAAACGGCATGGTTACAAACATTCGTCACCTTCGAAGGGCTTCTCCCGGAGGTTCGCGCTCGCCTCTCTCGGCCAATGAGCGCTTGTTCTAGACGGTTTTTTTTCAGTCTCTCTCTGCTTACGATTAGAGTGGGTCATGTCCGAAGAAGTGTCCGCTCCTGCTGGGGTCGCGGCCCCCGCTGCCCTCAAGAGCCCCAAAAAGGCTTCCACGAAAGTGTCCAAGGGAAAGGCAAAGGCCGTGCCAACGCATCCCAAGGTGTCCGCAATGGTGACAGCATCCATCAGTGCGCTTAAGGAACGTGGTGGTTCATCTCTACAAGCCATCAAGAAATACATGTCTGCCAACTACAAGGTGGACGTCGAGAAGCTGTCTCCTTTCATCCGCAAGTATCTCAAGTCTGCCGTGGCTGCGGGAGCATTGGTGCAGACCAAGGGCAAGGGAGCTACCGGATCGTTCAAGCTGTCAGCCAAGTCCGACAAGCCCTCACCTGCTGCTAGGAAGCCCAAAAAGGAGGCCGGTGCTGCAAAGAAGCGCCCAGCCTCGGCAACTGCCGGTGCGGCCAGGAAGAAGAAGCCCGGGACTGCCAAGAAGTCGCCCGCAAAGAGGGCCAAGTCGGCCAAGCCCAAGTCGGCCAAGCCGAAAAAGCCAAAGGCAGAGAAGAAGGCTGCAGCACCCAAGAGCCCCAAGAAACCCAAGGCAGCAAAAAAGACCCCTGCCAAGAAGCCGGCTGCAAAGAAGGCTTCCTCCAAGAAATAGGTCTTCTCCTGGATATCCAGAGCGAAAAACAAAACGGCCCTCATCAGGGCCATAATTCGTTTGCATATCGGGGGATATGCACTTGCGTGGCATGCAGCTCCCGTGTCTCTCGCCACCTCTCTGTTCCAGCCTCGGTAAGCTGATTCCTGCTCTTTTTCAATGTGCACGAGGCATACTTGGTGTTATATTATTGTTTGTTCCCCTGTTAGCAGCATTTTATCTTTGTGTGTGGTACTCGTGAAGTCGTGGAGGCCCGCTTCACGCTCGAGCCGCGATTCGATCGCCTAAGATCAGGCGAAAATAAAAACAAAAAAAAAAACTACTCGCTTTAGAACAGTCTTTTTTTCTGTCCTCTTAGCGCACACCTTTTTTTTCGCGGCACACGAAATTAAGAATCTGTATCTACGTTTATTACTACCTCTTTTAAACTTAAATCGACCAGCCGCCCTGACCGCTTGAAAACTAGTTTTGGCTTCCAAGTAAGAGGTTAGATCGAAATATGAAGAAAAATAACTCCGTTTAAATTCAAATAATTTTTACACCTATTAGAGAAGTTCATTAGCTTTCGGAAAATATATACTTCGCTATGCGTAACAATATTTTTCGTTGCGTTAGAGAGTGAAACAGGTCAAGCTGTAGAGTCCGGCGCGCGCTCGAGCCGCGATTCGATCGTCCAAGATCAGGCAAAAATTAAAGATAAAAAGAACTACTCGCTTCAGAAGAGTCTCTTTTTCTGTGCTCTTAGCGCACACGTTTTTTTAGCGGCACACAAAATTAAGAATCTGCATCTGCGTTTATTATTACCTTTTTAAACTCAAATCGACCATCCACCCAGAGCGCCCGAAAACTTGTTTTGCCTTCCAAGTAAGTGGTTAGATCAAAATATGAAGAAGAATAACTCCGTTTAAATTCAAATAATTTTGACACCTATTAGAGAAGTTCATTAGCTTTCGGAAAATATATACTTCGCTATGCGTAAAAATATTTTTCGTTGCGTTAGAGAGTGAAACAGGTCAAGCTGTAGAGTCCGGCGCGCGCTCGAGCCGCGATTTGATCGTCCAAGATCAGGCAAAAATTAAAGATAAAAAGAACTACTCGCTTCAGAAGAGTCTCTTTTTCTGTGCTCTTAGCGCACACGTTTTTTTAGCGGCACACAAAATTAAGAATCTGCATCTGCGTTTATTATTACCTTTTTAAACTCAAATCGACCATCCACCCAGAGCGCCCGAAAACTTGTTTTGCCTTCCAAGTAAGTGGTTAGATCAAAATATGAAGAAGAATAACTCCGTTTAAATTCAAATAATTTTGACACCTATTAAAGAAGTTCATTAGCTTTCGGAAAATATATACTTCGCTATGCGTAAAAATATTTTTCGTTGCGTTAGAGAGTGAAACAGGTCAAGCTGTAGAGTCCGGCGCGCGCTCGAGCCGCGATTTGATCGTCCAAGATCAGGCAAAAATTAAAGATAAAAAGAACTACTCGCTTCAGAAGAGTCTCTTTTTTTGTGCTCCGAGCGCACACGTTTTTTTAGCGGCACACAAAATTAAGAATCTGCATCTGCGTTTATTATTACCTTTTTAAACTCAAATCGACCATCCACCCAGAGCGCCCGAAAACTTGTTTTGCCTTCCAAGTAAGTGGTTAGATCGAAATATGAAGAAGAATAACTCCGTTTAAATTCAAATAATTTTGACACCTATTAGAGAAGTTCATTAGCTTTCGGAAAATATATACTTCGCTATGCGTAAAAATATTTTTCGTTGCGTTAGAGAGTGAAACAGGTCAAGCTGTAGAGTCCGGCGCGCGCTCGAGCCGCGATTCGATCGTCCAAGATCAGGCAAAAATTAAAGATAAAAAGAACTACTCGCTTCAGAAGAGTCTCTTTTTCTGTGCTCTTAGCGCACACGTTTTTTTAGCGGCACACAAAATTAAGAATCTGCATCTGCGTTTATTATTACCTTTTTAAACTCAAATCGACCATCCACCCAGAGCGCCCGAAAACTTGTTTTGCCTTCCAAGTAAGTGGTTAGATCAAAATATGAAGAAGAATAACTCCGTTTAAATTCAAATAATTTTTACACCTATTAGAGAAGTTCATTAGCTTTCAGAAAATATAAGAACTGGTACAAAAGGACACAACCCTCCAAGAGAGCAGAAAAAAAAAAGAAAAATGCCATCAGCACTCCGTGTTCCCAGGTGGTCACCCTCCCAAGTACTGACGGAGCCCGATGCTGCTTAGCTTCGGTGATCGGACGAGAACCGGCGTATTCAGCATGGTATGGCCGATGGCAGGTACTAGGGCAACGAATGTTCGACTGCTGCCTGAGAAGATTGGTACACTCGGCTGTGGCGCACAAAATGGTAGAGACCCGCGGCAAAACAACACTCATGACAAAAGAGGAATCACTCACCCAAAGCAGTGCTTGTTTTCAGGATTACAGAGAGACACGGGAGGGAGGCGTTGGAATGAAAACCCGTTTCCAAGATAGATCGGTACTGGTTTGGCCCTGAAAAGGGCCGTTTTCGATGTGTGTCCGACGGCGAGACGGCTGTTAACCACCGAAACCATAGAGGGTACGGCCTTGCCTCTTGAGGGCGTACACCACATCCATGGCCGTCACGGTCTTCCTCTTGGCGTGCTCGGTGTAGGTGACGGCATCGCGAATGACGTTCTCCAGGAAGACCTTGAGGACGCCGCGGGTCTCTTCATAGATGAGGCCGGAAATGCGCTTGACACCACCGCGGCGGGCTAGGCGACGGATTGCAGGCTTGGTGATCCCCTGGATGTTATCGCGAAGAACCTTGCGATGGCGCTTGGCACCACCCTTGCCCAGGCCCTTGCCGCCCTTGCCTCTTCCAGACATGTTTGCTGCAAAAACAGGGACGGAAAACACGACCGCACCGTTCGCCTACTTCAACAAAGACTGGCGGCAATGCTCTACGGGTCCGACCAAGTGAACCCACGACGCCCTCCTCCTCTCCCGCCGACGAATGGGAGCAGTCCTGCAGCTTCGTATTGTGGCCGACAGGTGGCTGCGCACTGGAAGCAAGCGTGTGTTGATGAAATGCATGGCTTTAGCAAAGGCATTCATACACCTCGCCCATTTTGAGTCTTCATAGTTGTATGTGCAAAACATTGTTTTTTCTAGGTTCCAGGAGATATATATTTTAGCGGGATTAAGATTCGTTTTCGCTAAGTCAATGGGAGAAACATGTCAACTCAGGAGTGCCGAGCTTCGCACCGATGCAGCTAGTCAAGGGCCCGTTTTCACATGCGAATAAAAAAGAGTTTTATAAACGTTCGAGCAATCTATTCATCGGAACTTGTACAAGACACACTCTTCTCACGGCACACAAAAATTAAAGTTTCTTATCACTGGCGTTTTTAAGCGCGCAGTGCAATTCACCGCCATGGTGAGCCGGGTCGACAGCAAGTTGGGTCACCCAAGAACACAGTTTGATCAAAATATTGACTTATATAAAAGGGTCCGGTTTTAAGTGCTCATTACACGGGACGAAAAGTCTTTTTGGCTGGCAGAAAATTTGATACTGAAAAACTTTTTACCAAGCCTTCGGTCTGTTAAGAAGCAAAACCTGCCACCCGAAAGCGGCCAGTTCGTGCCGCTGCCGCGAATCGCGCAAATGAAGTAAAGTAATAAAACAATTTCGTCTAAATTCAAATGCTTTTTACACCTACCGAAGAATTTCATTAGCTTTCAGAAAATATACACTTCGGTAAGCGTAAAGATATTTTTCGTTGCGTTAGAGAGCGAAACAGGCGAAGCCGTAGGGCCGGCTTCGCGCTCGGGCCGGAATTCGATCGTCCAAGATCAGGCAAAAATTAAAAATAAAAAAAAACTACTCGCTTTAGAAGAGTCTCTTTTTCTGTGCTCTTAGCGCACACCTTTTTTAGCGGCACACGAAATTAAGAATCTGTAGCTACGTTTTTTATTACCTTTTTTAAGCTTAAATCGACCAGCCGCTCTTAGCGCCCGAAAACTAGTTTCGGCTTCCAAGTAAGCGGTTAGATCGAAATATGAAGAAGAATAACTCCGTTTCAATTCAAATGCTTTTTACACCTATTGAAGAAGTTTATTAGCTTTCGGAAAATATATACTTCGATATGCGTAAAAATATTTTTCGTTGCGTTAGAGAGTGAAACAGGTGAAGTTGTAGAGTCCGGCGCGCGCTCGAGCCGCGATTCGATCGTCTAGGATCAGGCAAAAATTAGAAATAAAAAGAACTACTCGCTTTAGAAAAGTCTCTTTTTCTGTGCTTTTAGCGCACACTTTTCTCTAGCGGCACACAAAATTAAGAGTCTTTATCTAGCTTTTTTTAAACTTAAATCGACCAGCCACCCAGAGCGCCCGAAAACTAGATTTGGCTTCCAAGTAAGTGGTTAGATCAATATATGAACAAAAATAACTCTGTTTAAAATCAAACGCTTCCTACACCTATTGGAGAAGTTCATTAGCTTTCGGAAAATATATATTTCGATATGCGTAAAAATATTTTTCGTTGCGTTAGAGAGGGAAACATGTGAAGCTGTAGAGTCCGGCGCGCGCTCGTGCCGCGATTCGATCGTCTAAGATCAGGCAAAAATAAAAATAAAAGTACTCGCCTTAAAAGAGTTTCTCTTTTTTGTGCTGTTAGTACACACTTTTCTTTCGCGGCACACGAGATTAAAAGCCTGTATCTACGTTTATCATTGCATTTTTTAAACTTAAAATAAGAACACTCGAATTTAAAAGCAAGTTATTTGATACAACCGTGGCTCTAAAAAGAAAAACGCTGCAACTCGAAAACACAACACTTTGGAGTATGGGCTCCCAACGGCTAAAAACCACGCGAATATATCCTTTACATACGCGAGCGATGTGCAATATTTAGGAAGGTCACTCGTGCCCTCAAAAGCAATGAAATACAATGTTTTTTTTTTCACCGAAACAAAATAAACGACATCCGACTGTGGCTACAAGAAGCCAAGTTCGACTGCACAACAAGAAAAAAGACATACTCTTTGCAAACATGCGCGATGCAGAAGCACTGGGTACTCACATATTTCTTGAAAAGAGAGACACGGGAGTTGGAAGTCATCGAGAGACGGCCGTTTTGCAGGGATGAGTATGGCCCTCAAAAGGGCCGTTTGTACATACAGCAGGGAGATAGCTCCTGGGTGTTACTTGGAACTGGTGTACTTGGTGACAGCCTTGGTGCCCTCGGACACCGCATGCTTTGCCAGTTCACCCGGCAGCAGGAGCCTCACAGCTGTCTGGATCTCCCGACTCGTGATGGTCGAGCGCTTGTTGTAGTGAGCCAGCCGAGACGACTCTGCTGCGATGCGCTCGAAGATGTCGTTCACGAAGCTGTTCATGATCGACATGGCCTTGCTGGACACTCCGGTGTCGGGATGGACCTGTTTGAGCACCTTGTAGATGTAGATGCTGAAGCTCTCCTTCCTCTTGCGCCTCTTCTTCTTCTTGTCGGTGGCACGCACATTTTTCTGTGCCTTGCCCGCCTTCTTCACTGCTTTTCCGCTCGGTTGGGGGGGCATCCTCGCGCGACTTGTCTTCGGGAGAAGATCGACGTTGTTACTCGCAAAAAGATGGCGAAACAACAACTGGGGCAACCTGAAATTTTAGAGAGAGAGAGAGAGAGAGAAGTCTTGCAAAAGAGGAAAAACCATCGTTGGAGTTACAGCCATGGGCCGAACGGTCATCGTTGGATTGGGGGGAAGGGAAGGGGATAAAAGCTGATAGAAGAAAAAATTGTGAAAAAAAAAGAGAGAGGGAGGTTGTTCGCCAAAGCCGACAAGCGGGGCGCGAGGAGCCACAGAAAGTGGCTGGCAGAAAAGGGGGCGGAGCCGAGGAAGGAAGGAGATCCTTTAAATGTCCAAGTGTCTTGTCCAGAAGCCTGTAGCACATCTTCACAGAGTCCAGGGTGAACGAATCGGGTTCGGCACGCGGTGTCCGAATTTCCAAGCACTGTCACCAGTCACACCAACACCAAGTTTCCCAGTATTCCGAGCCAAAGTGCAATGGGTCGGCGAGCATCTCTCTGCTGCATGTATACACAACACGGCGTTGCGAAAGGATTGGGGGGAACATTAATAGATTCCGTTCCCTCAACAGGGGCGGTCGAGCCTATTGTATGCATAAGGGACATTCTTTGCCTGTGTTTGGCTGAGTGACCCACGCGATTTAACGCGTGGTTCACCAAACGCAAAGGTAGAAATTACTTGTATGGCATTTTCTGAAAATGCCTGACCCTTGGCTTGCCTAGGGTTTACTAGCTTCCGAATCTATCATTCGAAAACTTTTCACTGCTGGGCGAGGTTAGTTCCTGCCCATTAAAAGGAAAAAAAAAAGAATTCCGAATTTATTATTCGAAACTCTGACTCAGTAAGGTTATTCCTTGCCTGCGAGAGAAGAATCAACATAAATAAGAAAAATGGCACGGCGCCAGAGCGGGACAGCGCGCGGGGAGATTGTTTTGCCAAAGCAAAAGGGGCCCCGCGCGAGGGGCAGACCTGGCGAGAATAAAGAATAGAAAAACAAGGCGCCGGAGGGAAGCTATCAGTTAGGATTTGCACAAGAGCAGTCCCTGCTGCGAGGCAGGAAAGAAGAGATCAAAAATAAAGCTAAAAGCAGACAAAGAACGCGAGAGAGAGGCTGTCAATCAAGTCGTGCGCGAAGGACGCACCCGACAAGAAGCGAAGCCAGAGAAAGAAAAGATAGCCAATACAGTCTAAAAGTGTTAAGTGGTTCAGGGGGCCCTCGCAAAGGGTGGGCCTGCGCGCGCGTTCTAAGTGGAAGGCAGTTAAGTAAACAGAAAGAAAAGAGAAGCTGAGTCTAAAGAGGAGGCTACAAGAAAGGAGAGAGAAAAAATAACAGCCGGGGGTGCAGCGCGAGGGAGAACCAAGGCGAATAAAGTAAAGAGAAGAAAAACGCGAGAGAGGAGCTGTCAATCAGCTCGGCAGCAAGGAGGAGAGATTACGGGAGAGGAGGACGCGACGCCCTGCAGGCCCTGCCTGGATAGCGATCGCGTCCCCCTCCGCCACGCGACCGGCGGAGAAACCGAGTTTCCCCGAAGGAGGGAAAGGAGGAGCGTTTTCGGCGGGCGGGCAGCAGCGCCAGGCCAGGCCTTCCTAGTGGGGTGAGCTTTCCCCGAAGCTCTGCGGCTGTCGTCTGCTACAGATCCTTTGTCTCTTGCGCGACCGTTGCAGCCTAGATCTCGCCGGCCAGCCCCGTCTCGACGAGGAATCCTGCGAGCGCTGTTAGGGCACTTTGCGCCGCCTTACCTTGCGGTCTGATTAGAGTTTCAAAGCTGTTCGTGCTACATCCAAGAGTGATGTAGCGACGAAACAATCGCTCACGTTCCTCGCCGAAGTCCGGGCACTCGCGGAGGAGATGATCGGCGTCCGCGACGGCCGCCGCGCATCTCGGGCAGCTTCGGTCGCCGTCGGCTCGCCACCTCGCTCTGTAGTCGGGGGTGAAGGCGCTGCTCGTGCGCAGCCTGTGGATCACCGCCGCTTCGCCTCGCCGCATGTTCCTCGGGGGCCTCGGGGGCAGGGGCCCGTGCTCGAGCTCGGGGTGGCGGGCGGCCACCACTCTTCTGACCAGCAGGCGTGCATCGGAGAAGGCCGGGACCTCGGAGATCGGGTATGCAGGATCCTCCTGCGCTTCGGCGGCAAGGCGATCTGCTCTTTCATTACCTGCTATTCCACAGTGTGCAGGAACCCATTGGAAGGCCAGCGTCCATCCCCGGCGCTGCAGCTCGATGGCTTTTTGGGTCACCACCTTGGCCAGTGCTGGGGCCCTGTCCAGGTTCTTCAGGAGTCCGAGAGCAGCCTTGGAGTCACAGAGTATCACCAGGCGGTCTGGCTGCCCCTCGGTGTCCACGATGGACAGTGCCAGGATCAGCGCCGCCAGCTCAGCTGTCGTGGAGGTCGCCTGGAAAGAGAGCCTCTCGGCGGCCGTGCGGCCGGTGTCCTCCGACACGGCCGCGGCGCTGGCCGAGTGGCTCGCCGGATTTACAGACCCGTCCGTGAACGTCTTCGCCCAGCCCAGGAAGTGCTCGTGGATATGATGCTCCGCGTGCTGCCTCGCCGTCGTCTCAGCCATGTGCCTCTTTGGTGCATCGAGACCTGCGTTCAGTTCGACTCGCAGCGGGGGCTCCTCGCTCGGTGGTGGTGGTGTAGGGTTGTTCCCCGGGCCGCCCGCGATCCGAAAAAGTTCCCTCGCGTGCGCGGCGAGTTGGGACCGTGTGCGTTGTAAAATACGCTCGGGCAGCCCGGTTGTGCCCCTCGACTCACCGATCCGGATGAGGTGCCGCATCGCTCGTTCGGCCGCTGCGAGTCTTACCGTGGTGACGCCTGCATCGTTCAGTGTGTGGCGCGAGGAGGCCGTGCGGGGGACTCCGAGGCAGACGCGAAGTGCAGTGCGTTGCATCCGTTCGAGCAGTTCCCACTGGTTCTCTGTGAGTGTTAGTAGCGGCAGTGCGTACAGTGCGCGAGAAAGAATCAATCCCTTGTAGAGGGTCAACAGCATACCCTGTGAGGTTCCGCGGCGAGTACCTGCAAGCATTTGGATTATACGCGCGTGGCGTCGGCACTTACGGATTACCTCTGCAACCGCAGGAGCCCATGTGGCTTTCCTGTCCAGTTGCACCCCCAGGTAAGCTGCTTGCTTCTTGATTGGAATTTCTGTGCCGCCTGCTTTGATTGACATTGAGAAGCGATATGTGTAGTGGGGGGCATTGCACAGAACGACGGACTTGCTCGGGGAGAGGGACAGGCCGAGCAGGGAAAGATAGTGCTCAATGTTGGTGACCCCTCTCTGCAAAGCTTTCCGCACGGCCCCTCGGTGCCATCCCCGAGCAGTTGCCCAAAGTGCAATGTCGTCTGCGTAAACCGCTATTTGGAGGCGCTTGACTCCCTTTTGGCCAATGTTTATGATTTGCGGGAGGGCCGACATAGCCACATTAAATAGCAAGGGGGAAAGCACGCCCCCCTGGGGGACGCCACACCTGATCTTCCTGGGAGTGCTGAGTCCCTTGGCTGCTCGTACCTGCGCCTCTCTGCCGCTGAGATATGCCCTCACGTAACGGAGCGGTCGGCCCTCGATTCCTGACAGCCTGAGCATGTCCAGAATTGCTGAGTGTTTGACGGCGTCGAATGCTTTAGACACATCGAGAAGGACGACTCCCGTCGTCCATCTCTTTGCCTTGCTTTCCTCGAGCGTGGTCACCAGATCCGCGATGGCGTCTGCGGTGCAGTGATGCCGTCGGAATCCACACGTGCTTTCCGGGTATCCGCCCACCTACTCGAGATGGTATTCGAGTCGGCTTTTCACCATTCGTTCGAGTAGTTTCCCCATGCACGACGTGAGCGCGATGGGTCGGAACGAGCTGGGATCTTTTCTGGGCTTACCCGGCTTGGGGATCGGGACGACGACTGCCGAACGCCATTCGGAAGGGATGTTGGCGTCTCGCCACGCTCGATTGAACAATTCTAGCAGCGCTGGGTAGCTCGCTTTGTCGAGGTTTCTCAGCGCTGCAGCGGTGACGCCGTCTGCTCCGGCGGCCGACTTTTTACGTGGGAGCGATGCCAGGGCGCGTTCCAACTCGTGTAGCTGGAAGTCTCCGAGCCCCTCTGTCATCTGGGGCTTCGCGTGCCACTTCCAGTCTCGCCATCCGGGCGGTGCATCTCGGGCGGCAGGCGCGGGTGGGGGGGAGAGCAGTGCGTCCGCTAGAAGTTCTCGGACGTCTGCATCGGAAACGTTAAGCGCGAGTGCCATACCTGCAATAGGATCTCGCGGTCCCGGTCGGTTGCAGAGGGTCTTGGCCATTTTCCACGCCTTGGTGGCCCCGCGGGGGCCGTCGAAGGACTCACACTTCTGCTTCCACTGCTCCCTGGCGAGCCTCTTACCGTGTCGCTTGAAGAGTGCATCCTGGCGTCGGTAGCGGAGTGTGTCCTCGTGACGGCCCGTCCGCAGGGCCACCCTCTGTGCCTGGCGTCTTTGTGCTCGGAGTTGGAGCCAGCGAAAGTCAGGATTAGGACGCTCAACGGGGATACTCACTGACGTGGTGGCCTCTTTGAGTGCGGCGCCGATGGCCTGGCTGTCAAGGGGCCAGCCCATCGCCTCGTACTGGCGGAGGAAGGCACGATACCTGTCCCAGTGGACCACCTTGCACGTTCGATTGGGTGGCCGTGGGGCAGGTCCCGATGTTATGGGAACGTGGTCGCTCCCCCAGCTGTCTTGCTCGAGCACCGTGGTCAGTGGGAATCGCGCCGAGCAGAACGTTAAATCGAGTACGCTCCGCTCGACGCCTCGTCCGATGAATGTGGGCTGCCCTGTTCCGCTGTACTCCAAGTCGGTTTGGGCGAGGGCCTCCTGCAAACGCTTGCCGCGCGCGGTCGTTTTCCTGTCCCCCCACAGCTCGTTGTGCGAGTTAAAGTCTCCGCCGAGAATGATTATGCCCTGCTCTCGCGCGTGAATTTGTTTTACAACCTCTCCACCCCACGCCGCGTTGGGGTGAACGTAGCAAGAAAAGATAGAAAATGTCTGGTTATTTTTCTTTACCCGAATACCTACAAGTTCCGAAGTGTCCGAGCAGTAATCGGCGCTCTCGATCCGGCAGTGGGTCGCGTCTTTGTGGACGAGCACGGCCGCCCAGGGTTGTTTTTCCCGGCCGGGGCAGCAGTAGGTGGTGTAGCTGGGAATGGTTAGTTTGCTCACGTCCATTTTTGGCTCCTGCAGCAGCACCACCTCGTACGGCCTTGCCAAGAGTTCTGCCCTCAGGTGGGTGAGGCGGTTGCCGAGCCCGTTCGCGTTCCACTGGAGGATCGAGGGACAACCTTTCACAGCATTAGGCTTACTTGTTTTCTTAGGGCCTGTAGGAATTCTCAGTTCCTTGCCGCGAACGTTGCATCCCCGCGGTGATGCTGTGTAGTAAGGTCCCCTCCGGGATCATGGCTGTAGCCTGCCGATTCTTGAGGAAAAGCGGGATTAGTGTTTGGAGCAGATCCTCCAGGGTGTGGATCATGTCGCGCATTTCCTGCGCGGTGGGGGGCGTGTCCGTCTCGTCCCGCCGAGGGGAATCCCCGGCGCTGTCTCCTGGGGAGGCTGCGGGGAAGGGGGGTGAGGGGGGCACCTGTTCTTGCTGGGGGAGAGGCCTTTCCCTCTCGCCACCGGGTCGGTCGTCCGCGCGGGGAGAGGAGGATCCTCGCAGGTGCCGTGCGTCAGCTGGGCGCCGGTCATTGACCCCTCGCTGCTGCTGTTGGCTGTCTGGACGGTAGGACCTGCGATAGACCTCCTTCCGCCGCTGCGGCTTACCGACTTCGGGGATTTTGGCGCTGGGTTCCGTGTTAGTGGAGGCCTCTCTTGTCTTGACTTGCGGGGGCTGTGGGGCGACTGGGGGGATTAGTTCGCGAGTCGCACTCACCGCGTTTGGCCGACTGCGCGCTTCCAGCGTTGGGAAAGTGTCTCCCCAGACTGAGCTCGCTGGGAGCACGCTGGTCTGCCACGCGGGAGTCTGGCTGGCTCCGCTGTGCATCCAGGGGGGCGGGGTGGCGGTCTGCTCCTGCGCGCGCTGCGTGCTGCGCTCGCTTGCCTTTTTCTTGTGGAGTTCGGCGGCGACACGTTTGGCCTCCTTCCAGCTGCAGCCGGTGTCGCGGACCGCCTCGGCCTCGCGCTTGTGTTGTTGGTACACGCTGCATCCCTTGTCGAATGCAGCGTGTCTGCACTTGCAGTTGGGGCAAATGGGGGTGAGTTTTGTCGCGCACTTACCCCGAGGGTGCCTGCCCCTGCATGTAGGGCAGGCAGTGGGCAGCGTGCACGCGGACTGCACGTGGCCGAAGCGTCCGCATCCCCAGCACTGCGTTGGCCGGACGTGTCGTGCCTCCACGACAAACTCGATGTCGTAGATCAGGACCGTGGCTGGTAGGGGTCCGCCGAAGAAGAGCTCCGCGTACCGCCCTCCGCTGAACCGTCTGATGTGGTCCACGGGTACCTCGCTTTCGAGGCCTCGGGTCAGCTGTTCTGTTGCGTCATTGGGGCAAAGTCCGCGGATTACGCCGATACTCACCGCTCTGGCCGGCGCGAGGGTGGCATGGAGAGGGAGGCTCGCCAGCTTGTCGGTGCCTAGGAGGCGGTGGGTCATTGCCGCGCTCGTTGTCTCGACCGCCATCACGTTTCGCCTGAGATTGAAACGTGTGGCGGCCGCCTTGCCGCCCGTGACTTGTCGAAGGCCCTGCGCCAAGGAGACTCTGTTCTCCAGGGTTAGCTTACCTGTTCCCGTTGGGCGGAGCAGGACTGTGGACCCCTTTGCGGGGAGTTCGTCTAAGGAGGGAATTGGTTGGTTAGCCTTGCCTGTGTTTTTCTTACGTGAGGCCCCGGATGTTGGGGGGCTTGTCACTGTGGGGGGGGTTGTCGCTCGGGGAGGGGTTGCTGCACCGTCCTTCCTTTTTTGGTGCAGTTCCTCGATGAGGGTGTTGCAGTCCTTGCTGCCTGCTTCCAGAAGTGCTGCAAACTGGTTGGAGGTGTTTACAGTCACCTGGAGTTGGTCGTCGTCCTCCTCGGAGGTGTTGTCAGGTGTGGAGTCACTGGGGCTCGATGTTGTGTCCCCGCTTGCTTCAGAGGGGCTGTCGCTGTTCTCGCAGCCGTGGAACAGCTCCACGACTTCGTCCGGGAGCCGATCTGCATTTGGGTGTACTAAACCGGCACTTTTCAGTACACCTAGGATGGCGTCCGGTCGGGGGACGCCATCCTTCGGGGGCTCGTCGCGCTCCACGTGGGCGCCGTCCTCGTGGCTCTCGGGTGCCACGCGGAGGCTAGCCTCCGCGCGGGATCCGGTCCCCACGAGGTTTTCCGCGTTGTCCACGTGGCTCGCGCCGGCTGGCGGTAACGAATGGTTACCGTCTGTGTTTGGTTTGGGCTTCATGGCCCTGCTCCGCAGCAGGTACCCCGAGGGGTCCTCTGTCTCCTTTGAGTGGTCCGTGGTCAGTTGGTCCGGGGGCATGCCTGCGTCGGTGCCCTCCCGAGGGAGGGCGGGGGGAAACTACAAACTGTTTAAATAAAGGTCCCTCCGCCTCTTTAAGGCAGAAGGATCTTTAACACTAACTAGCTCTACTCTATCTTAATTCTTCTTCACATTACGAAGTTAGGGTTAAAGCTAAGACTAAATTCAAAATGGCGCTTAAATTGGAGCTAACAAATCACACGTCTACTTTATTTGCCAACTCTTCTCACCTCCTGACCTCACCTCCTGAAATTTTCGTTTTCTTTGCTCTTTTTATAGGTTTTCACAGCATTCTGAAAAATGTGCTCCGATTGGCCAGCATTCTAGAGCGCGGGAAACAGTGCGCTGTGATTGGAGTACGCCCAAAATAAAGCTTCGAGATTGGTTGCTGCGCGAACCAATGAGCAAGCAGTTGAAACTACAATTTTTTGGGAGAGGGTTTTGGGAGAGGAGTGCTATGAAGCAGAGGCAGTGCAAGGCGAAAACGCGCTCTTGCAGCGCCCCCCAATCGGAGAGGACTGGCACTTCCTTTGATTTTCTGCTTCTCGATGCGCTGACTCCCTCACTCACTCAGTGTTCGTTGGTTTGTTCGGTTGTCCACTTCTCACCTCCACCAAGATGTCTGGGCGCGGAAAAGGAGGCAAGGCAAAGGGCAAGAGCAAGACCCGTTCCAGCCGCGCGGGGCTCCAGTTTCCCGTGGGAAGGATCCACCGACTACTGCGAAAGGGCAACTACGCGGAGCGAGTAGGTGCCGGTGCCCCCGTCTACTTGGCGGCCGTACTCGAGTACCTGGCTGCCGAAGTGCTCGAGCTGGCAGGAAACGCGGCCAGGGACAACAAGAAAACTAGGATCATCCCTCGACACCTGCAGCTGGCCATTCGCAACGACGAAGAGCTCAACAAGCTGCTGTCCGGAGTTACCATCGCGCAAGGAGGTGTCCTGCCCAACATCCAGGCCGTCCTCCTTCCCAAGAAGACCGAGAAGAAGGCCTAAACCATCCCGCGGCATCCGCTACAGAAAAACGGTCCTTTTCAGGACCACTCATGACTTGAGTACAGGATACTCATTTCCGTGCGCTAGTCTTCCGTGTCTCTAAACGCTCGGGTATGTGCATTTCAATTTCCTTTTTGTGCAATGCCGACAGTGTTTCTCTTTCATCACCTACAGGCCTTGAATGCCACTCTTAGGCATTCTCCCATGCATAATATTTACGCTGCGTTTAATGCCAAATTCTTTCACGTGTGCGAATTGCCCGAACAAGACTTGCTGTCGGGTGCAAAGGCCAGCATTGCTTGTTATTTGAACTCGTAAAACCACCGCTGCACTGCCTCGCTTTGAGAGGATTTGAAGCTGTTTCTACGAGAGTCAACAATCGGAGCAGCATTTCCCCGAAACCGGCAGAGGGCAATAAATGTTGTGGACATCCCTCAAAAACAGATAATTACTCCACGGGTTTTTGTTGGTCGAATCTATAATCGTGATATTCGCTGATTGCTAGAAAATGAACCCTGTAATGTCTCGGGAAAGGTTTTTTTCTTCTTTATTTATTTCATTCAACAACACTTTAGAAAACAAGGAACACATGAAGGAATCGTTGGAAGCAACTGCGAACGGAGCACTTGGCACAATGCAAACTAGTTCAAAATGGGAGAATAAATAGAAAGTACTCACAGCTTTTGAACTGCTGCACTTGGAACAAGTCAGCATCGGAGATTGAGACACGGGAGGACGTCGCTTTACACATGTCCGAAAAGCATGTCTGATGTGGCCCTGAAGAGGGCCGTTTTTGTGGCGTTGCCTGCCGCTTCCGAAGAAGCGACATTAAGCGCGTTCACCGCGGATGCGACGAGCCAGCTGGATGTCCTTAGGCATGATGGTTACCCGCTTGGCGTGGATGGCACAGAGGTTGGTGTCTTCGAAGAGACCGACCAAGTAGGCCTCGCTGGCCTCCTGCAGGGCCATTACAGCCGAGCTCTGGAAGCGGAGGTCCGTCTTGAAATCTTGCGCGATCTCCCGCACTAGCCTCTGGAAGGGCAGCTTGCGGATGAGCAGCTCAGTCGACTTCTGGTAACGACGAATCTCACGCAGCGCGACCGTGCCCGGCCTGTAGCGATGCGGCTTCTTGACTCCACCGGTTGCAGGAGCACTCTTCCGGGCGGCCTTCGTAGCCAGCTGCTTGCGCGGTGCTTTTCCTCCCGTGCTCTTGCGGGCGGTCTGCTTCGTACGGGCCATTCCGAAACGTTGGGACAATAAAACGAGAGAGCTAGCAAACAGCAACACACCTCGACTCCTGACGACCAACTGCCTCAGCGCGAGTGGCGAAACTTCCTTCCCGACAAGGCCTCTCGGCCAATCAGAGAGCTTGTTCATTCTGGATGCTGTTTTGGGCAAGTTTCTTGCGAGGGACAGCGCACGTGGCTCGCTAGGACAATATTTCACGATTGAAGTGATCTAAACTTGTGGGGATAATGTGGAACCAACGTTAGAGCACAGAATCGAGCAAAAATTAGACTCCTAACCTTGTTATTTTAGAAACGGCACGGTTATAAACATTCGTTACCTTCTCCAGTGGGCCGCGCTCGCCTCTCGTCCAATCAGCGCGCTTGTTCATTCTTGGATGCTGTTTTGGGCGACTTTCTTGTGAGGGCCTATGCGCTTGGCTCCGTAAAATAATTTTTCTCGATCGAAGTAACTCAGACTTGTGAGGATAATGTGGAACCTATATTAGAGCACAGAATCGAGCAAAAATTAGACTCCAAACTTTGTTATTTTAGAAACGGCATGGTTACAAACATTCGTCACCTTCGAAGGGCTTCTCCCGGAGGTTCGCGCTCGCCTCTCTCGGCCAATGAGCGCTTGTTCTAGACGGTTTTTTTTCAGTCTCTCTCTGCTTACGATTAGAGTGGGTCATGTCCGAAGAAGTGTCCGCTCCTGCTGGGGTCGCGGCCCCCGCTGCCCTCAAGAGCCCCAAAAAGGCTTCCACGAAAGTGTCCAAGGGAAAGGCAAAGGCCGTGCCAACGCATCCCAAGGTGTCCGCAATGGTGACAGCATCCATCAGTGCGCTTAAGGAACGTGGTGGTTCATCTCTACAAGCCATCAAGAAATACATGTCTGCCAACTACAAGGTGGACGTCGAGAAGCTGTCTCCTTTCATCCGCAAGTATCTCAAGTCTGCCGTGGCTGCGGGAGCATTGGTGCAGACCAAGGGCAAGGGAGCTACCGGATCGTTCAAGCTGTCAGCCAAGTCCGACAAGCCCTCACCTGCTGCTAGGAAGCCCAAAAAGGAGGCCGGTGCTGCAAAGAAGCGCCCAGCCTCGGCAACTGCCGGTGCGGCCAGGAAGAAGAAGCCCGGGACTGCCAAGAAGTCGCCCGCAAAGAGGGCCAAGTCGGCCAAGCCCAAGTCGGCCAAGCCGAAAAAGCCACAGGCAGAGAAGAAGGCTGCAGCACCCAAGAGCCCCAAGAAACCCAAGGCAGCAAAAAAGACCCCTGCCAAGAAGCCGGCTGCAAAGAAGGCTTCCTCCAAGAAATAGGTCTTCTCCTGGATATCCAGAGCGAAAAACAAAACGGCCCTCATCAGGGCCATAATTCGTTTGCATATCGGGGGATATGCACTTGCGTGGCATGCAGCTCCCGTGTCTCTCGCCACCTCTCTGTTCCAGCCTCGGTAAGCTGATTCCTGCTCTTTTTCAATGTGCACGAGGCATACTTGGTGTTATATTATTGTTTGTTCCCCTGTTAGCAGCATTTTATCTTTGTGTGTGGTACTCGTGAAGTCGTGGAGGCCCGCTTCACGCTCGAGCCGCGATTCGATCGCCTAAGATCAGGCGAAAACAAAAAAAAAACTACTCGCTTTAGAACAGTCTTTTTTTCTGTCCTCTTAGCGCACACCTTTTTTTTCGCGGCACACGAAATTAAGAATCTGTATCTACGTTTATTACTACCTCTTTTAAACTTAAATCGACCAGCCGCCCTGACCGCTAGAAAACTAGTTTTGGCTTCCAAGTAAGAGGTTAGATCGAAATATGAAGAAAAATAACTCCGTTTAAATTCAAATAATTTTGACACCTATTAGAGAAGTTCATTAGCTTTCGGAAAATATATACTTCGCTATGCGTAAAAATATTTTTCGTTGCGTTAGAGAGTGAAACAGGTCAAGCTGTAGAGTCCCGCGCGCGCTCGAGCCGCGATTCGATCGTCCAAGATCAGGCAAAAATTAAAGATAAAAAGAACTACTCGCTTCAGAAGAGTCTCTTTTTCTGTGCTCTTAGCGCACACGTTTTTTGAGCGGCACACAAAATTAAGAATCTGCATCTGCGTTTATTATTACCTTTTTAAACTCAAATCGACCATCCACCCAGAGCGCCCGAAAACTTGTTTTGCCTTCCAAGTAAGTGGTTAGATCGAAATATGAAGAAGAATAACTCCGTTTAAATTCAAATAATTTTGACACCTATTAGAGAAGTTCATTAGCTTTCGGAAAATATATACTTCGCTATGCGTAAAAATATTTTTCGTTGCGTTAGAGAGTGAAACAGGTCAAGCTGTAGAGTCCGGCGCGCGCTCGAGCCGCGATTCGATCGTCCAAGATCAGGCAAAAATTAAAGATAAAAAGAACTACTCGCTTCAGAAGAGTCTCTTTTTCTGTGCTCTTAGCGCACACGTTTTTTTAGCGGCACACAAAATTAAGAATCTGCATCTGCGTTTATTATTACCTTTTTAAACTCAAATCGACCATCCACCCAGAGCGCCCGAAAACTTGTTTTGCCTTCCAAGTAAGTGGTTAGATCAAAATATGAAGAAGAATAACTCCGTTTATATTCAAATAATTTTGACACCTATTAGAGAAGTTCATTAGCTTTCGGAAAATATATACTTCGCTATGCGTAAAAATATTTTTCGTTGCGTTAGAGAGTGAAACAGGTCAAGCTGTAGAGTCCGGCGCGCGCTCGAGCCGCGATTCGATCGTCCAAGATCAGGCAAAAATTAAAGATAAAAAGAACTACTCGCTTCAGAAGAGTCTCTTTTTCTGTGCTCTTAGCGCACACGTTTTTTGAGCGGCACACAAAATTAAGAATCTGCATCTGCGTTTATTATTACCTTTTTAAACTCAAATCGACCATCCACCCAGAGCGCCCGAAAACTTGTTTTGCCTTCCAAGTAAGTGGTTAGATCAAAATATGAAGAAGAATAACTCCGTTTAAATTCAAATAATTTTGACACCTATTAGAGAAGTTCATTAGCTTTCGGAAAATATATACTTCGCTATGCGTAAAAATATTTTTCGTTGCGTTAGAGAGTGAAACAGGTCAAGCTGTAGAGTCCGGCGCGCGCTCGAGCCGCGATTCGATCGTCCAAGATCAGGCAAAAATTAAAGATAAAAAGAACTACTCGCTTCAGAAGAGTCTCTTTTTCTGTGCTCTTAGCGCACACGTTTTTTGAGCGGCACACAAAATTAAGAATCTGCATCTGCGTTTATTATTACCTTTTTAAACTCAAATCGACCATCCACCCAGAGCGCCCGAAAACTTGTTTTGCCTTCCAAGTAAGTGGTTAGATCAAAATATGAAGAAGAATAACTCCGTTTAAATTCAAATAATTTTGACACCTATTAGAGAAGTTCATTAGCTTTCGGAAAATATATACTTCGCTATGCGTAACAATATTTTTCGTTGCGTTAGAGAGTGAAACAGGTCAAGCTGTAGAGTCCGGCGCGCGCTCGAGCCGCGATTCGATCGTCCAAGATCAGGCAAAAATTAAAGATAAAAAGAACTACTCGCTTCAGAAGAGTCTCTTTTTCTGTGCTCTTAGCGCACACGTTTTTTGAGCGGCACACAAAATTAAGAATCTGCATCTGCGTTTATTATTACCTTTTTAAACTCAAATCGACCATCCACCCAGAGCGCCCGAAAACTTGTTTTGCCTTCCAAGTAAGTGGTTAGATCAAAATATGAAGAAGAATAACTCCGTTTAAATTCAAATAATTTTGACACCTATTAGAGAAGTTCATTAGCTTTCGGAAAATATATACTTCGCTATGCGTAACAATATTTTTCGTTGCGTTAGAGAGTGAAACAGGTCAAGCTGTAGAGTCCGGCGCGCGCTCGAGCCGCGATTCGATCGTCCAAGATCAGGCAAAAATTAAAGATAAAAAAAACTACTCGCTTCAGAAGAGTCTCTTTTTCTGTGCTCTTAGCGCACACGTTTTTTGAGCGGCACACAAAATTAAGAATCTGCATCTGCGTTTATTATTACCTTTTTAAACTCAAATCTACCATCCACCCAGAGCGCCCGAAAACTTGTTTTGCCTTCCAAGTAAGTGGTTAGATCAAAATATGAAGAAGAATAACTCCGTTTAAATTCAAATAATTTTGACACCTATTAGAGAAGTTCATTAGCTTTCGGAAAATATATACTTCGCTATGCGTAAAAATATTTTTCGTTGCGTTAGAGAGTGAAACAGGTCAAGCTGTAGAGTCCGGCGCGCGCTCGAGCCGCGATTCGATCGTCCAAGATCAGGCAAAAATTAAAGATAAAAAGAACTACTCGCTTCAGAAGAGTCTCTTTTTCTGTGCTCTTAGCGCACACGTTTTTTTAGCGGCACACAAAATTAAGAATCTGCATCTGCGTTTATTATTACCTTTTTAAACTCAAATCGACCATCCACCCAGAGCGCCCGAAAACTTGTTTTGCCTTCCAAGTAAGTGGTTAGATCAAAATATGAAGAAGAATAACTCCGTTTAAATTCAAATAATTTTGACACCTATTAGAGAAGTTCATTAGCTTTCGGAAAATATATACTTCGCTATGCGTAAAAATATTTTTCGTTGCGTTAGAGAGTGAAACAGGTCAAGCTGTAGAGTCCGGCGTGCGCTCGAGCCGCGATTCGATCGTCCAAGATCAGGCAAAAATTAAAGATAAAAAGAACTACTCGCTTCAGAAGAGTCTCTTTTTCTGTGCTCTTAGCGCACACGTTTTTTGAGCGGCACACAAAATTAAGAATCTGCATCTGCGTTTATTATTACCTTTTTAAACTCAAATCGACCATCCACCCAGAGCGCCCGAAAACTTGTTTTGCCTTCCAAGTATCAATCAATCAATCAATCAATCAATCAGCGTTTATTTCAGCTTGAAATACAAACTGAGGGTGGCAAGAAAAAAGCAGTGTCGTCCACTGCTTGACGGGCCTCGCCACCCTTACAAGTCAGCAGTGTAAACGCGGTAAAAAATAATATATATATATAAAATGAACAATACAGACAAAAATGAGAAGTACAGACAAATTATAGAAATTATAGAAAAGCGTTCCTAAGGACAGAAGAAGACATACCATTCAAGTGATCACATAGAGGAGTATTCAAAAACTTAGGCAAGATATATCGCAACATTGTAAAGCCATAGTTCGTTCTACATCTAGGTAAAACAAAGCTGTCTTTTTCCCTGGTTGCATAAGGCGTATTGTGGGGCACAGTAGAAACAATACGTGAAAGAAAATTATCGTTTTTAGCTATACTATTTTTGTAAAAACACGCGAATCTATATTCAAATAAATTATATACAGGCACAATTTTAAACTGCGAGTAAGCCTGCCCGGTTGGGGAATTATATGGAGCTTTTGTAATAGCACGTAGCATTTTCTTTTGCAAGATCAGAAGCTTCTGAATATTGGATGCTGTGGTATTACCCCAGACAAGAAAACAATAGCTTAAATATGAATAAAAGAAAGCGTAATACAAAGTAAGTTTAGTTTTTTCAGGTAGAACGTACTTATTACGCGAGGTTATTCCTACAACCTTAGAAAGGGCAAGACAAACCTCGTTTATGTGGGCGTCCCATGTCATCGTTGCGGTAAAACTTACACCGAGGGATCTAAACGTTTCTACATACTCGATAATGGTGTCACTCAAAACTAAAGGCGGTGGGTGCATTACAAGCTTTCCTTTAGGACGAAATATTACAGCTTTAGTTTTTTCTTTGTTGATTTTCAATGAGTTGACTAATGACCACCGTGATAATAATGCCAATACTCGGTTAGCAGTGCCAGTTAGTTGTTCAACGTCAGAGGAGGAAAAGAAAAGGCTCGTATCATCAGCGTAAATAACGTACTTTGCAAGGGTACTAATATTGGAAATGTCATTTATATATATATTAAACAAGAGTGGTCCAAGGATGCTACCCTGAGGGACACCATTAAAAATTTGAAGGGAATCGGAGCGAGAGTGGTTTATTACAACATATTGTAATCGTGAGCTTAAATATGATTTTATAAGGTTGAGGGCGTGTCCTCGTACGCCGTAATGCTCGAGCTTAGCGATAAGTATTTTATGATTTACAGTATCGAATGCCTTACTAAAGTCAATAAAAATGCCAAGAGTAAGACGTTGTGATTCAAAATTGTTCAAAATATATTCTTTTTGGGCAAGCAAGGCGTGTTCCGTTGATCTATTTTTAGTAAACCCATATTGGCAATCGGATATTACAGAATGCTTTAAGAAGAAATGATTGAGGCGGCGATGAATTATTCGTTCTAACCCTTTAGAAAAAAACGGAAGTATAGATATTGGTCTATAGTTACCGAAGTCGTTCTTATTTCCTTTTTTATAAATTACGGCTACTCTGGCTAGCTGCATAGCTGTTGGAAAGTGTCCCGTCATAAGCGCTACATTATAAATATGTGTTAGACATGGTGTAATTATTTGTAAAACATATTTTACTGGGCGACTTTGTATATTATGAGAGTCGAGGCTATTCGTATCTTTCAGACTTTTGAAAATTGAAAAAACCTCAAGCTCGTCAGTCGGTTCAAAAAATATTGATTCTGTTAACCTATCACTTAGAAAATCAAAAATGCCGGAATTATAGTGACTGTCACCTACAGTCGAAAAAAAGTAATTGAATGATGCAGCGAGATCTGAACCCGATAGCTCAGTTCCATTAACCGTTAAGCTTGTGATCGCTTGGGTATTAGTATGTCCATTCAGGAGCAAATTTAGACGCCTCCATTTTTCCTTAAGATTGCTAGAAGTCTGGCGACCAAAGAAATTATTATAATACATGTTTCTCGCCAATTTAATTTCCCTGTTTAGTCGGTTGCGTAAGGACTTATATTCTGCGAGCACGGTAGGATTTTTGTTTTTAATAAATATTGCAAATAATTTGTATTTCTTTTTAACGAGTCTAATTAAACGTCTAGTCATCCATGGTTTACGCGCACTTTTGCATGGTTTTATTTCTACAGTGGGAAAACATTCATTATATACTGATGTGAAGAGCTCTAGAAACCTGTTAAAAGCATCATCTGCAGCTGGCTCATTATAAATAGGGCTCCAATCCACCAAGGAAATACGGTACTTAAATAGGTCGAGCCTTTCTTGAGATATTAGCTGGCGTCTCAATTTAGCGACATCGTTCGAACAAGTTGCTTTTTCTATACGCAAGAAAACAGGTAAGTGATCGCTAATATCGGCAGCGATGCGACCGGAAAAGAATGCGTTGTCATTATTAGTAATAATTAAGTCTAAAGTGGAAGCAGAAGAAGCTGTAATGCGCGTTGGACTGTTAATGACATTTTGAAAACCTGTTGAATGAAGTGTGAGTAACATTTGCTGTTGCATTGGGCTATTCGTACCCATATCAATATTAAAATCGCCAGCTATGATGGACAAATAATTTTCAGAACTAAATAAAAACGTTTCACGTCCAAATATCTCCCAAAATTCGCCAAAGTGGTTAGATCGAAATATGAAGAAGAATAACTCCGTTTAAATTCAAATAATTTTGACACCTATTAGAGAAGTTCATTAGCTTTCGGAAAATATATACTTCGCTATGCGTAAAAATATTTTTCGTTGCGTTAGAGAGTGAAACAGGTCAAGCTGTAGAGTCCGGCGCGCGCTCGAGCCGCGATTCGATCGTCCAAGATCAGGCAAAAATTAAAGATAAAAAGAACTACTCGCTTCAGAAGAGTCTCTTTTTCTGTGCTCTTAGCGCACACGTTTTTTGAGCGGCACACAAAATTAAGAATCTGCATCTGCGTTTATTATTACCTTTGTTAAACTTAAATCGACCATCCACCCAGAGCGCCCGAAAACTTGTTTTGCCTTCCAAGTAAGTGGTTAGATCGAAATATGAAGAAGAATAACTCCGTTTAAATTCAAATAATTTTGACACCTATTAGAGAAGTTCATTAGCTTTCGGAAAATATATACTTCGCTATGCGTAAAAATATTTTTCGTTGCGTTAGAGAGTGAAACAGGTCAAGCTGTAGAGTCCGGCGCGCGCTCGAGCCGCGATTCGATCGTCCAAGATCAGGCAAAAATTAAATATAAAAAGAACTACTCGCTTCAGAAGAGTCTCTTTTTCTGTGCTCTTAGCGCACACGTTTTTTTAGCGGCACACAAAATTAAGAATCTGCATCTGCGTTTATTATTACCTTTTTAAACTCAAATCGACCATCCACCCAGAGCGCCCGAAAACTTGTTTTGCCTTCCAAGTAAGTGGTTAGATCAAAATATGAAGAAGAATAACTCCGTTTAAATTCAAATAATTTTTACACCTATTAGAGAAGTTCATTAGCTTTCAGAAAATATAAGAACTGGTACAAAAGGACACAACCCTCCAAGAGAGCAGAAAAAAAAAAGAAAAATGCCATCAGCACTCCGTGTTCCCAGGTGGTCACCCTCCCAAGTACTGACGGAGCCCGATGCTGCTTAGCTTCGGTGATCGGACGAGAACCGGCGTATTCAGCATGGTATGGCCGATGGCAGGTACTAGGGCAACGAATGTTCGACTGCTGCCTGAGAAGATTGGTACACTCGGCTGTGGCGCACAAAATGGTAGAGACCCGCGGCAAAACAACACTCATGACAAAAGAGGAATCACTCACCCAAAGCAGTGCTTGTTTTCAGGATTACAGAGAGACACGGGAGGGAGGCGTTGGAATGAAAACCCGTTTCCAAGATAGATCGGTACTGGTTTGGCCCTGAAAAGGGCCGTTTTCGATGTGTGTCCGACGGCGAGACGGCTGTTAACCACCGAAACCATAGAGGGTACGGCCTTGCCTCTTGAGCGCGTACACCACATCCATGGCCGTCACGGTCTTCCTCTTGGCGTGCTCGGTGTAGGTGACGGCATCGCGAATGACGTTCTCCAGGAAGACCTTGAGGACGCCGCGGGTCTCTTCATAGATGAGGCCGGAAATGCGCTTGACACCACCGCGGCGGGCTAGGCGACGGATTGCAGGCTTGGTGATCCCCTGGATGTTATCGCGAAGAACCTTGCGATGGCGCTTGGCACCACCCTTGCCCAGGCCCTTGCCGCCCTTGCCTCTTCCAGACATGTTTGCTGCAAAAACAGGGACGGAAAACACGACCGCACCGTTCGCCTACTTCAACAAAGACTGGCGGCAATGCTCTACGGGTCCGCCCAAGTGAACCCACGACGGCCTCCTCCTCTCCCGCCGACGAATGGGAGCAGTCCTGCAGCTTCGTATTGTGGCCGACAGGTGGCTGCGCACTGGAAGCAAGCGTGTGTTGATGAAATGCATGGCTTTAGCAAAGGCATTCATACACCTCGCCCATTTTGAGTCTTCATAGTTGTATGTGCAAAACATTGTTTTTTCTAGGTTCCAGGAGATATATATTTTAGCGGGATTAAGATTCGTTTTCGCTAAGTCAATGGGAGAAACATGTCAACTCAGGAGTGCCGAGCTTCGCACCGATGCAGCTAGTCAAGGGCCCGTTTTCACATGCGAATAAAAAAGAGTTTTATAAACGTTCGAGCAATCTATTCATCGGAACTTGTACAAGACACACTCTTCTCACGGCACACAAAAATTAAAGTTTCTTATCACTGGCGTTTTTAAGCGCGCAGTGCAATTCACCGCCATGGTGAGCCGGGTCGACAGCAAGTTGGGTCACCCAAGAACATAGTTTGATCAAAATATTGACTTATATAAAAGGGTCCGGTTTTAAGTGCTTATTACACGGGACGAAAAGTCTTTTTGGCTGGCAGAAAATTTGATACTGAAAAACTTTTTACCAAGCCTTCGGTCTGTTAAGAAGCAAAACCTGCCACCCGAAAGCGGCCAGTTCGTGCCGCTGCCGCGAATCGCGCAAATGAAGTAAAGTAATAAAACAATTTCGTCTAAATTCAAATGCTTTTTACACCTACCGAAGAATTTCATTAGCTTTCAGAAAATATACACTTCGGTAAGCGTAAAGATATTTTTCGTTGCGTTAGAGAGCGAAACAGGCGAAGCCGTAGGGCCGGCTTCGCGCTCGGGCCGGAATTCGATCGTCCAAGATCAGGCAAAAATTAAAAATAAAAAAAAAAACTACTCGCTTTAGAAGAGTCTCTTTTTCTGTGCTCTTAGCGCACACTTTTTTTTAGCGGCACACGAAATTAAGAATCTGTAGCTACGTTTTTTATTACCTTTTTTAAGCTTAAATCGACCAGCCGCCCTTAGCGCCCGAAAACTAGTTTCGGCTTCCAAGTAAGCGGTTAGATCGAAATATGAAGAAGAATAACTCCGTTTCAATTCAAATGCTTTTTACACCTATTGAAGAAGTTTATTAGCTTTCAAAAAATATATACTTCGATATGCGTAAAAATATTTTTCGTTGCGTTAGAGAGTGAAACATGTGAAGCTGTAGAGTCCGGCGCGCGCTCGAGCCGCGATTCGATCGTCTAAGATCAGGCAAAAATTAGAAATAAAAAGAACTACTCGCTTTAGAAAAGTCTCTTTTTCTGTGCTTTTAGCGCACACTTTTCTCTAGCGGCACACAAAATTAAGAGTCTTTATCTACCTTTTTTTAAACTTAAATCGACCAGCCACCCAGAGCGCCCGAAAACTAGATTTGGCTTCCAAGTAAGTGGTTAGATCAATATATGAACAAAAATAACTCTGTTTAAAATCAAACGCTTTCTACACCTATTGGAGAAGTTCATTAGCTTTCGGAAAATATATATTTCGATATGCGTAAAAATATTTTTCGTTGCGTTAGAGAGGGAAACATGTGAAGCTGTAGAGTCCGGCGCGCGCTCGTGCCGCGATTCGATCGTCTAAGATCAGGCAAAAATAAAAATAAAAGTACTCGCCTTAAAAGAGTTTCTCTTTTTTGTGCTGTTAGTACACACTTTTCTTTCGCGGCACACGAGATTAAAAGCCTGTATCTACGTTTATCATTGCATTTTTTAAACTTAAAATAAGAACACTCGAATTTAAAAGCAAGTTATTTGATACAACCGTGGCTCTAAAAAGAAAAACGCTGCAACTCGAAAACACAACACTTTGGAGTATGGGCTCCCAACGGCTAAAAACCACGCGAATATATCCTTTACATACGCGAGCGATGTGCAATATTTAGGAAGGTCACTCGTGCCCTCAAAAGCAATGAAATACAATGTTTTTTTTTCACCGAAACAAAATAAACGACATCCGACTGTGGCTACAAGAAGCCAAGTTCGACTGCACAACAAGAAAAAAGACATACTCTTTGCAAACATGCGCGATGCAGAAGCACTGGGTACTCACATATTTCTTGAAAAGAGAGACACGGGAGTTGGAAGTCATCGAGAGACGGCCGTTTTGCAGGGATGAGTATGGCCCTCAAAAGGGCCGTTTGTACATACAGCAGGGAGATAGCTCCTGGGTGTTACTTGGAACTGGTGTACTTGGTGACAGCCTTGGTGCCCTCGGACACCGCATGCTTTGCCAGTTCACCCGGCAGCAGGAGCCTCACAGCTGTCTGGATCTCCCGACTCGTGATGGTCGAGCGCTTGTTGTAGTGAGCCAGCCGAGACGACTCTGCTGCGATGCGCTCGAAGATGTCGTTCACGAAGCTGTTCATGATCGACATGGCCTTGCTGGACACTCCGGTGTCGGGATGGACCTGTTTGAGCACCTTGTAGATGTAGATGCTGAAGCTCTCCTTCCTCTTGCGCCTCTTCTTCTTCTTGTCGGTGGCACGCACATTTTTCTGTGCCTTGCCCGCCTTCTTCACTGCTTTTCCGCTCGGTTGGGGGGGCATCCTCGCGCGACTTGTCTTCGGGAGAAGATCGACGTTGTTACTCGCAAAAAGATGGCGAAACAACAACTGGGGCAACCTGAAATTTTCAGTTAGTTAGAGTATTGGGAGGAGGAAATCAAAGGAAGTGTTGCTGAGCCGGAAGCTCAATATGTCACCTTTGTTTTGGGGTAGGGGAAGGGGAGTAAAAGATAAAGATAGAAAGGGTTGTTGCGCCAGCTTCGCGCCGCCAATGTGCGCCGCCGCGCCACGCAAGCCGCACGAAGAAGCCCCCCCGGCCGAGCAGAGCGGCCGGTGAAATGCGCTTCTTCTAAGTTGAAGTTGGGCAGAGTCCCACTTGATTCTTGAGATAGTCTTCAGAGGTCTTCCTTAAATGGGCCGTCACAAAACACACCAGCGCCAAGCACCACCCAGGAGCCCTGTTGTACAAACCTAATATTAAGCCGAATTAGGACCGAATCAGAATGGCAAATAAATAAATAAGTAATTAAAAAAAGTTGGGCCGGAATGAAAAAAAAAAATTGTGGCCAGGAGGAAGTTTGTTCCCAATAGTCTTGCGCCGCGATTGAAGTGTCAATCGCGGTGGCAATTTGTTACCGAGGGGCCCAAGCGAGCCGTCTCATAACGGCCGACCGTCCTAGGTCAGGACGGTCGGAGCTCCTATGAATCAGGCCGCGGTGCGAGGAGAACGCAGCGCGGTGAGAATTCAGTTACCTCCGCTAGCGATGCAGAGGCCCCGCAAGCAGAGAGTCCCGCGCGAGAAGCTAAGTCAGCGCGAAGGACAAGGGAGCGGATCGCAAAGATAAAGTCTCCGCGATCGTGAGGAGAAATACCTTTGAGTTTGGTATCAATCCAGATGTGAGGGTCGCCCGGTGGTCCGGAACGCCAGGCGGTCGCTTCCCAGAGCGGCAGCAGCGAGCGAGCCGTTCAGGAGGACAGCGGCGCCGGGGAGAATCCAGGCGCCCGACTAGGGCATTCCAGACGACAGGCGACCGGCGCGATGTCCGGGAGGGAGAAGCGGCGGTGAGTCACCGCGCGATGCAGTCAGACGAAAACATCACGTTATGAGGAGAGGGGTACTCGGTCAGTGAGAGTAGTTTTGTGGAGGCGGCGAAGGCGTCGCGGCAAAGGATGGATGGATGGATGGATGCATACGGCTGAACCCTTTGGATCGGGCGGTAGCTTACGCCACCTAGCCATTTTGTTTTACCATTTAAGCTTAGAATATTTAAATGTGAAATCTATATTCACTCCGCAGTGCAAAGAAAGTGAGGCTATGAAACCCCCTTGCCATCAGTGATTAAGAAAATACCTAGTTTCCTCTCGATTTCTGCCACCATTCACTTAATCTTTGCTTGGTAATCTCTACAGTCTTGAAATCCACTCTCCCTTCGCTGTCTCTAAAACCCAATGACTTTATTAAATCTATGTTGTCTTCGGTAGGCATAGGGTGAAGCCCTTTACAGTAGAGTATCAAGTGCTCAGCCGTCTCGTCCTCCTCTCCACAAGCAGTGCACACTGTATCAATTTCCTGGTACTTCACTCTGTATGTTCTGGTTCGCAGAACACCCGTTCTTGCCTCAAACAGCAATGAGCTTCCCCTAGAATTGTCATAAATGCTTTCTTTGGCAATAACTCTTTTGTTTAATCTATAGCTTTCCAGAGCAGTCTTTGTCTGCATTCCCTCTAGCCACCGATCTCTTTCTGTGGCCTTAACTTTCTTCTTAACTGAGACTTGCTCTTCCGTATCTTCGCTATAGCCCAAAAACCTTCCTCTTAATTTCCTAGTGCGCTGTCTCCACTTTGTGTCTACACTCCTCATGTATAAATAGCTGAAAACCTTTCGTGCCCATTGCTCCCCATCCATTAGCCTCAACCTATCCTCAAATTCTACCTTGCTCACCGCTTCCCTGCTCTCAAATGATGCCCATCCCATGTCTCCTTGTACTCCCTGGTTTGGCGTTTTGCAATGCGCCCCCAAAGCCAGTCTACCTACTCCGCGCTGTTTTATTTCTAGTTTCGCATGCACTTCGGATTTCATGCATAGCACTGCGTTTCCAAAAGTCAAGCCAGGCACCATGACCCCTTTCCAAATCTCTCTCACCACCTCATACCTGTTGTAATTCCAAAGTGCTCTATTTTTCATTACAGCTGCATTTCTGTTGCCCTTACCTATTATATACTTTTCATGGTCTCTGAGATATTCTGCACCATCACATATCCATACTCCTAGATACTTATATTTACTAGCTCTCTCAACTGTAATATTCTGTATCTTCAGCCTCTCAACTTCATCCTCGTTAAAAATCATGACTGCCGATTTTTCGCTACTGAATACTGAAAGGCGCGGCGCCAACGCCGCCTCCTGGTGG